TCCACAAGAAAAACGTGGTTTTTTAAAAAGTTTTTTTTAAGTATTTTATTTTCTCCTTTTTAGTCCGTTGCTACACATGAAAAACGTGTTTTTTAAAAAAGTTTTTTATATAGTTTATTTTCTACTTTATCTAATGACTTGATTAAGTATGAATTGACTAAGTGTTTATAAATACACGGACTAAAAAAATCTTGAGCGACCAGGATTCGAACCTGGGTTGTCGCGGCCACAACGCGAAGTACTAACCACTATACGATCACGGCCAGCGCGCTCACATCGATTGGGGCCGAAGTAACTGTGTCAACAAGCCTCCAGTCTTGTCGGTATCTTTAGAAATCATGTCCTCAATTTTATGGTCCTTTGGGCGTAATTAAATTAAGCTAATTACGGTCTCTAATTGCTAGTTTTTATGATTGCATCTGAAATTGTTAGGCGAAAGTAACCTGCATGCCAAATTTCAGATCTATAGAGCAATCAGAAGTGGGCTAATTTTCGATGTCAATTTTAACAACAAACACATCCACGCGAAGCTGAGTTAATAAAAACGTGTTAAAATGAAGTGTACCTATCTAAAGCAAATAACAAATCCTATTTACGTAGGTTGAAAATAAGCGTGCATGATGAAATGGAATCCCCCCCCCCCCCCGCCCATAAACGGATATTAGCATGTCGTGATCACACGATATAGTTGTGGAGAAATACACACACAATTGTTGGTAGGCCTATGTCAACTGCATTAATAATTGATAATTGTTTTTTACTGTGTGTTTGTGTGGGCGTGAGGAATGTGTGTGTGTGTGAGAGGGTTTGTTTTTATGAGTCAAGTCTAGCGTCATGCAATGTCAAGGTCCGGACCCAAGGGTCTACGACCAGTGGAAATATTCAGCGAGGTCAAAACACGGTGACAACCTGCATTCTATGCTAGATTATGGGGTGTCACACACACAACAGGAACATGGACTTTCACATGCACTAATGCACTGTGGGTAACCCGGGATTGTCACGTGACGTGTGACAGTATCCGGATGTTTACCAGTACCAATCCGGGTTTTAGAGATTAGACTTACTCACACAGGCGTCTAATGGCAGTCAACAGTGTGGTCATTGGCTGCTCGTGACGGGTTTAGATTAAGGTTGAGATGTCGTGTTTGGGTTAAGTCTAAAGCAGAAGCTGGTGGTTTATGTAAAGGTTAAAATCTTAATTTTAAATAGATGAAGGAAGGAGAGGCAATGGCTGAATGGCTTACGTGGGCTCATAGAAAGAGAACTGCCCAAAACGGAGTGCGGTGGAGAGGTGTAACTACAGCCCACGAGCCACCAAAGGATGAAGATGAAGTAACGAGAAAATTTAGCACCTTAATTTGTAGATATATCTTTAAGAAAGTTATATGCTTCATTTTCTACCTTTTTACTTAGTACATAGGAATACCATGCTGTTGGTTGTTGTTAATGTTCACTGATAAGTAGTGCATATGATGTGTAGTTCATCTGTTTCTCTGATCATGGAATATGCAGGTGACCTATGTGGCCAGAACTAAGCCAATAGTAGCTGGGTGGACTCAGGGACTTTGGTTAGCATCAGAGCGCTCTACCACCATACCACCGATGAGATTTTAAGAACCCAGTTTACCCAATACAATAAATTTCGTTAGGCTACGTAACATAGCTCTAGCAAACCGACCAGTAAGACTACCAATACCTCTTCACAAATAAAGATACAAAGTTTAATTTTAACTTCAGTATCACCCTAACCGTAACGAACGGGTCCGGAGAAGAACTATGTTAAAACGTGCGGCAGTATGTTTGACAAATTAGTTCAGGACTATTTGCTTGATAACAGGATATTTATTCATGTTTACTTTACGATAAGTCTGTCTAGGATAAGCTCCCTGCGTAGGTAATAATGTGTTGTTTTAAAAATAAGCTGTAGTGTAAACACAATAGAGCATTACAGTAGTTATTTATAGCGGGTAAACAGTAACCAAACATTGGCAGGGAATTGCTTGTCTTACTACACGTTCAGACTGCTAAAATGAAAATCTGAAGTGCCCTTTCAGAATGAGTCTACCCAGCTCTAATGAGTACCTGGTTCACGTCATTTTAAATATAAGCGGCTCAAAAAAGTGCTGGCTCCATCATTAATTCATATTCTAATGTCAAGATCAAACGAAGATATTAACTCTACTTTACCTAGTATCCATTTGGGTGAATATATACTTGTTCATAAAAATATTCATATTTAATTAAAAAAAGTGTAATAAGCATAGCTTTAAAAAAATCGCCAATCTTTTAGCCCCTCCCCCACCCCCTCACCCACCAACATCGATCGTACCAACCATTGAAGCCGGTTGTTCTTGGGTTTCGTCTTCGATACAGGAGAAATTACCCAGCATTCCCTCCTTACAGAACAAAAGAAAATAAACGCGACCGGCTAGTTTACGTCAGATAAGTTGATTGTACTGTATCGGGGGGGGGGGGGGAAAGAGGAGGGGGGGTAATGGGAGGGGGGTTGGTCCAATCGATCCCATGTCCAGCAATCGGTGCTGTATCAATTGATGACGTAATATCCCTCCACCCCGGGTGTGAGGGGGGTCGGGGTAGAACCGTCTGAATAGCATTCAAAACTTTCCACTCTAGACGCTTACGTCATCGGTACCATTTGTTTCCTGGGGTGGGGGGGGGGGGGGGGGGGGGTGACGGACACTAGTTTAAGTATTCATTTTCTAAATACATGTATACCATGTTACTATTTCGTACGGGGGTTGGGGGTGTGGGAGGGATTGTAGGAAAAAAAGTCACAGGAAAAAAAAACACAGGAAAAAAAAACACAGAAAAAAAGTCACAGGAAAAAAAGTCACAGGAAAAAAAGTCACAAATATATATTTGCATGATATTTGTTAATACTTGTATGTATTAAATATTTAGAGAGTGCAAATTAACTTAGGATTAATTAAATGTAATGTAATATGTTTAGGCTGTATACGCATAGGAATTTTTATAATTCATCTAAAAATATTTATTATGAAGTATGTAGATTGTAATTATTTTAAACTTAAGATTAGTAGCATTTAATAGAATGCTCCAAAGTCCACGTTTTTCATCGTGTTTGTTTTTTAAATACCAATATTAAATTACAGTGAAATGGTAAGTTCATCTGACTTGCTGCCCTCAACTCATGGCAACAATAGTTATGTTTAGTTCAACCACCTTTACTGCCCACATTTATCACGCTCATTACATAACAAAACTTAGGATCAAAACAGAAAGCCGACAAGGTTCAAAGGCTCTCATTGACGCATAACGTCAACAAAACAAAATATGCTCGGACAATGCCTACTGAGGAGAGGCCGACCAGAGAATAGCCTACGGCAAAATGTGCATAAATTTCTTTTATAATTAACTTTTCTACCGCGTATTTAACTAAATACGCAACAGAAGTTGAGATTGTTGTGTTAATTATCTTAGAGTATTTTTACTTACAATTGTTATAAATCATAATGCTTTTAACGTCTATAAATAATGTATGCTATCAAAAAATACAACCCACAACAATAAACATACAAAATTTTACAATTCTTAACAAATTAATAAAAATATTTCTAAAAATATTTTTTGTGACTTTTTTTCTGTGACTTTATTTCTGTGACTTTTTTTCCGATAAAATTTTTCGACTGACTTTTTTTCTGTGACTATTTCCTAGCAAAAACTGTGACTTTTTTTCTGTGTTTTTTTTTCCTGTGACTTTTTTTCCGTTTACCGTGGTAGGCGTGCTTCAGGAGGGAGGGGGTGCCACTTAGAAGAGATGCCTGAAAGAAACCCTGCACCAAACATACCTATTTTCAGAAGAGTCTAATGTTCTGATGTCGGATACTAGTACTCTCGATTAATTACCAGCTTTAAAAAAAAAAAAAAGAAATACATAATTTCAATATGTAACCATCCTACACACGAACGTATGTCCCTGTACACATTTAAGAATAACTCATCACATATGATGCTGTCATACACACACAACCATGGCTGATATTACAAGAAACACATCCAAGATTGCATGCAATCCATTCACATTCAATCTGCAATCAATAGCGGCGTGAATGGCAGCTAAATAATTAGGTCAAGGATAATGAAAGCGGAACAACATATTGTAATTAAAAATAGGCTTATAAAAACAATCGTGGGTATAAAAATAGTATGCACTCCTATAAACGGTAATCGAATATTCACGCATTTAGTTTCGAAGATCGTATTTTAATGCGCCTTTCATCTATCGTAGCATTAACCTGATAGGCCTACTTAGCCAATGGTTAATTATTAGAGTCATATAATGTCATCGCTCAATTGCCGTAAATAATGTTATTTTAAACCAACGTTTAACTATGATATAGAATATAGACTTTATAGATATCCATGTCATACTATTGAGGGTTCATTTTACTAAGAAAAATTAAGATACTGTAACCAACTAGGTTGTAGTGTTAACGTTATGATCATGCTCGTCAATTACTGAGAAATAAAGTGCTAAAACAGCTAAGTAATACCAGCAACACCCACATCATTACCATCACCTTTAACTCAAAACAACTCGGATTGAATACAACGACAACCTCATAATACAAAGTCCATCGCTATATATATATATATATCTAGATCTATAACTTTTGAAAACAATATCCAATTGCTTCTTACTATTAATATAAACTTACCATAGCCAAAACAGTATGCAAGACAAACTGTCTTTATAAACAACAGAAGGCCAACCATTTCAATAATTGTTGCTAGTAAACATTATAAAAAAGGACATAACTATAGTAAAGCAATTGCAACTCATACGATTATACTCATTCAATAACTGTTGCAGGTAAATTTACAAAGACATACCTACTGCCGCGCAATCATTAGATTAAGGGCCTACGCGATAATAATACACGATTACAAATTTTACGGTACATGGAAAAACCAGAGAAAAAAATCGATAGCAATGCACATGAAATCACACAAACCGTAGTGAAAATCGCAACAGCGAATAACAAGCCACTGTATCTGAATGATCCGTCAACTGAATAAGCAGAGCGTCACATCCACCTTGGGTGATATTTGAAACTTCACACAGCAACGAAATCAATACACATTAACGGTGAGCTGTACTCACCAAAAATAAACACAAAACAATGTCATCACGCGGAGAAACCGTCCGCTACGTGCGCATGGTAAGCTATTAGGGAAGTCGGCTGTGGGAAGCAGGTTGGGAAAGAGAGAGAGAGAGAGAGAGCAAGATAAGGGGAAAAAATTTAACGGTGTGTTGGGTAAATTCAACACCGGTTGTCGTACTTGACCCAGGTCTAAAAGTACATGCAGTTTTTTTTTAAAGTAGAAATGTAGGCCGCGGAAGGATTATTTTTAGGACTAGTTTGTTCAAGGGGTGGTGGAGTTGTGTGTGTGTGTGTGTGTGTATAGTAGGGGGGGTGTTACTTGTATATGTATGCGTTAGCAGTTTCATTATGTTAACAAGTGTGGCAACTTAGAATATATGTTAAGTGTTATTTAGAATAACCCGACGCAAATACGCGTACTTTTTACAACATCGGATAGCTATACATACGCTAACGATTCACAGGATAAAATGCATCATTGAACTCAGCGGTTCTTAAAATAAAATATAAATGTGGGCAGCATTCATTGACAAACAGTTTACCACGGAAACAACCATATGCTTATCATTAAAATAATGTATGACTATTGCGACAGCTTGCCTACATACGATAAAAAAACATATTTATTGATTATTTTGCGTGCTGTGTTGCAAAAGTTAAGATGCATCAGCTAACTGTTGCGATGCATGTGCGCTGTGTACGATACGCACTATTTGGTACGTGGTATGTTACATAAGTAAAGTATACAAACATCGGGTCAGTTTCTAGTGGATGTTTGAGAACTACTGATAATATAAAGTACTCTGTAACCTACTTTCTTCTCTGTGTTGAAAAGCCGGTTAAATATTGCCGACACACGCAATAAATCGTTCGCATACGTGGTTTTATGTCGGGACATCAGGGCGTGCAGTGTAATAATATGAAAAGCCAGGGGGAGGGGAGGTAAAGTGTGGGGCCCTGGTTCAAGGTCAACTGTCTAATCTAAGACAACGGGTCGCGGGTAGGCGAAATTTGTCTGACTTTTTTTTTCCTCGTTCGAATTCCGGCAGCACATTTCTGTAACCGCCGAACTGAAACTGATGTACCCTACATTACATACATGAGTTCGTTGCATTCTTCTGCATCTGCGTTCGCCGTCGGTACGTAGATCTACATATTTTTTAAAAAAAAGACCTGCGTACATTTCGCTAGGGCAGCTTACTCGAAAATCTCGATTTTAGAATCCTGGTTTAAGTCATTAGAATGTCCCTGAGTTCACCCAGCTCTGATGGGTACATAACTCACGTTAGGGAAAGTAAAGATGGCTGGGTATAGTGCTGACCACAACTTCCCTACAAATGCCTAGGTCAAAAACATATGAACTCTACTTCATCTGCCCGATGGATCACTAGGTCGAAAGAGGATTCTTTTACTTTCTTTGCTTAACATACATTTACCTTACATACAGAGCAAGATAATCTTCTGGCCCAACACCATCTCAAAGGTGGAGATTGAGCAAAGAATATCCATCCAACCAATAACAGTAAATGTCAGATAGTATAGATGGGGATGGTTGGGCCATGTGCTAAGAATCAGAGCAGCCCCATTGGCCAACACTGCTCTCAGATGGACAATACAAGACAAAAGAAAACGAGGACGGCTTAAAAGAAAACATGGAGCAGATCAATGGAGAATTAGTTGAAGGAAAGAGGCCTAACAAGGCAGATATTATAGATGGAGACATGACGAATGGACCCTAACTTGTTGATGTCTTGTACGGCAATGAGCGTTTAGCGATGATGACAATAAAGCCCGGAAATTATGCTAAAGCCCAATACTAATCTGATTTTTAAAAATTTCAAACATAAACACCCCGATGCCCCCCCCCCCTCCATTTGTGTAGTCGCGGAATTCTGAAAGAAAGCATAGAATCCCGCCAAGACAGCAGAGTATCGCCTAGAGCCAGTGGCGTAGCGAGGTCGGGTGTCACCCGGTGCGGCACTTAATGGTGTCACCCCCCCCCCCCCCCAGAGGCGCAGCGACCCTTCCCGGGGACAAACTTTCAAATTTTCGATTTGCACCCCCTCCCACCTCAAACTTTCGATTTGCACCCCCCTCAAGATTTCGATTTGCACCCCCCCCCTCAAACTTTCGATTTACACCCCCCTCAAGTTTTTCTCTATATATTTTGCTATTTTTTTTCCTTGGTGTCACCCCCCTAAATGGTGTCACACGGTGCGGTCCGCACCCCCCCCCCCTTGCTACGCCCCTGCCTACAGCTAAGATGGAAGCAGGACACTAAGCTGAAGCTGTAGCTCTGGCATGTCCACAGCTTCAGTGACAACAAACATCCCGGCTACCGGCGTCAGTTAACGGTGTCATGCGTCACCAGCACAGGGACATCGTGTGAAACAGTTAGATAACAGCGGTGTCAAGGTCGAGGCCGTTACGTTAGTCAATGGTCGGCGATGTGCCGTCACACGGTCGTCACGCGTCAGGCTTGTTATCTACGTCACGAGCAATGGTGGGGAAGGGGGGGGGGGGGGTTGGACGGCTGGGGAGATAGTACACACTGAGGTGATGGCACATTGAGGGGTCATGACGCAAAGTAGATGACACACTGAGGTCATGGCACATTGAGGTCATGGAACATTGAGGGGTCATGGAACATTGGGGTCATGGAACATTGGGGTCATGGAACATTGAGGGGTCATGGAACATTGGGGTCATGGAACATTGAGGGGTCATGGAACATTGAGGGGTCATGGAACATTGGGGTCATGGAACATTGAGGGATCATGGAACATGGGGGTCATGGAACATTGGGGTCATGGAACATTGGGGTCAGGGAACATTGAGGGGTCATGGAACATTGAGGGGTCATGGAACATTGGGGTCATGGAACATTGGGGTCATGGAACATTGGGGTCATGGAACATTGAGGGGTCATGGAACATTGGGGTCATGGAACATTGGGGTCATGGAACATTGAGGGGCATGGAACATTGGGGTCATGGAACATTGAGGGGTCATGGAACATCGGGGTCATGGAACATTGGGGTCATGGAACATTGAGGGGTCATGGAACATTGGGGTCATGGAACATTGGGGTCATGGAACATTGAGGTCATGGAACATTGGGGTCATGGAACATTGGGGTCATGGAACATTGAGGTCTTTGAACATTGGGGTCAGGGAACATTGGGGTCAGGGAACATTGAGGTCAGGGAACATTGGGGTCTTTGAACATTGGGGTCAGGGAACATTGGGGTCAGGGAACATTGGGGTCAGGGAACATTGGGGTCATGGAACATTGAGGTCATGGAACATTGGGGTCATGGAACATTGGGGTCATGGAACATTGAGGTCTTTGAACATTGGGGTCAGGGAACATTGGGGTCAGGGAACATTGGGGTCAGGGAACATTGGGGTCTTTGAACATTGGGGTCAGGGAACATTGGGGTCAGGGAACATTGGGGTCAGGGAACATTGGGGTCATGGAACATTGAGGTCATGGAACATTGGGGTCATGGAACATTGGGGTCATGGAACATTGAGGTCTTTGAACATTGGGGTCAGGGAACATTGGGGTCAGGGAACAGTGGGGTCAGGGAACATTGGGGTCATGGCACACTGAGGTCATGACACATTGAGGTCATGGTACAGTGAGGTCATGACACACTGAGGGGTCATGACACACTGAGGAGATAGATGACACACTGAGGTCATGAGACACCGATGTCATAGCTTACTGGCTGAGATCAAAACACACTGAGGGCAAAACACATTGGAGTCACAACACACTGTAGACATAGCTCACTGATATCCCAACACAATTAGTTCACAACAAACACGTATCATAACACACTAAGGTCAAAGCACATACACACGTTTCTTAACGAACTGAGGTCACAACACACAACAGCCATAGCTCATTGGTATCCCTAAACAATTAGTTCACAACAAACACGGATCATGACAAACTAAGGTCACAACACAGACATCAAAGTACACTTAACACTCAAATCACAATACGTTCCGGAAATTTAAACAAAGAAAAACCTAATGTTATAAAAGTGCTACTAAAAAAAAAAACAACCTCAAAGCTGACTAGTTATACTATCCCAGTAATAAGATGGTCAGTTATACGATGGCAAGTCATACTTTTTAGCCGTTAAAAATCGACTCTTTATAAACCTATAACTTATAAGATGACCAGTGATACTATCCGAGTAATAAGATATCCAGTAAGAAAATGAGCATGTATAAGATGAACGATTATAAGATGATCAGTAACAAGATGACAAGTTATAAAATCCCAGTAATAAGATGACTATTTATAATATCCCCGTAACAAGTTAACTAGTTATATTATCCCAGTAATAAGATGACTAGTTATAAGATCCAAGTAATAATACAGCCAGTTTCTAAGAAAGTCACTAATTAGATGGCCGGTTATAAGATGATCAGTACCACGACGACAGTAATAAGATGACTAGTTATATGTATTATATAATATCCCGGTAACAAGATGACTGATAAGATCCAAGTAATAATATACCCAGTTTATAAGATAGTAATAAGATGGACGGTTATGCATTGTATTACACGCTTGCTTGTCTTGAGTGACCTTAATCAGTGGACCAGTACATGGTGGTCTGTTTACAGGACGGCCCACATAGGGTGCCCTGTACTTTGACAGCTAGCGAGATAAACAACTTTTATCACCTGATTAGGCGCGGATGTCGTGCATGCTGCAACATGTGCCGTGGTGTTCTGCGACATGTGCCGTGTTGTTCTGCAACATGTGCCGTGTTGTTCTGCAACATGTGCCGTGTTGTTCACACCCAACAGCACCCCCTCTTACCCCACAACACACACAACTCGTACCGTAACATGCATTCCATCCTTATCGCCCCCACACCATCATATACAGCCCTCCCCCTCTTACCCCCTCTTACCCCATAACACACACATAACTCACACCGCAAAAAGCATACCCCCTATCGCCCCACACCATCACATACAGACCCCACACAATTAACCCACAACCCACACAC